GCGGGTCGCTGAGGAAGGGTTGAACCCGGTTCTCTGCGAAACTGCCCCCTTCTCGACGTTGCCAGCTGTAGGAGGGGAAGAAAGGGTGAAATAGAAGGTGTCTCTGAAATGAGGCTGCTCCTGGTGGTCCCCGTCCTGGCCTGGGATGAGGCTGGCAGCAAGGAGCGGCTCTTTCAACAACAAGGAGACGACAATTCTCTCTAACCAAAAATAACACCCTTGCAAAGTCCACTTCTTCTGAACTTTGCCTGTCCAGTTTTGCTTTTTACAGAAATCAGTGGAAACACCACCTAGATAAAGATGGTAATAATCGTTATCTCTCTCTTTTCCAAACAGCTCAATGACACCCAGAAAGAAGTTACAGGGTCTTGTAGCTGCTACAATCACTCCTATGACTCCTGATGGGTGAGTATGACTCCATATCACGACATGGCATGTCATCAGAGCTGCATTGCTTACTGTTACCTTAAAACCCATGTCTCCCTTCTTTCTTATTTAGAACTGATCAGTTTTGGTTTTGTTCGTAAACCAGATCTCTGGTGGGATGGAGAAACTAAGGCGGTCCCACTAGCACTAAAATCAGTTCCTTTCGCCTCAGCATCCTCCTGTTGCTCAGCAAGTGGTGTAGGTCTGGGTTTGGAGCATTTGGATCAGTCTCCCATCTCTTTCTATTGCTTTTGTAGGTGCAGATCATGTTCATGTACATGAAATATTGCAGTATTTTCCCATTTCTTAAGGCAAATCACAGTCCTAATTAAAAAGAGCTCTTGAGAACTAGAAAATATTTGTCAAAATCTGATGTCCTTTTACACTTTTCTTTACTTTTGCTAACTCATGTGAGCACTTTTGCGTATATATGTGTGCATGGAATTATTCTAAACCAGAAGAAAATAATGCAAGGACTGCACATTTCTCAAAATAACATCAAATCAAAAGTTGAAATCCAGCCTTCCTCAAAGCAGTGATGGTAAACAGATGTCCTCCCTACTGCATTTTGATGTTGCAAGACAGAGTTGTCTGGAGTCAGCAAAGGACCCTGAGCTCTGATGGGGGAAGTGTCAAGATCTGAGGGAGGCGGTGGAGCTCTGCTAATACAGTCCTCTGCAAGTGAGCCTTTACTTTTGAAAAGTGCTGTAAAGCATGGCACTCTATCGGTCAGGGAGCCACACTGCAGTCACTGCTTTGTTTCTTGCTTTAAAGGAAATTTCTTCCTGATTTCATTTTTTACTACTACTCAAATTTATTGCAACATGGTATTTGAAGAGCGATCTGGGCCCGCTGCCTGGAATGCCTGTCCCCTGTAAGATACATGCTGTGACAAGCGGCTATGAAATCTTGGGTGATGTGTGAACCCAGTCAAAGTCCTAGAACTGACTTCAAGACTATAGAGCTGGTCAGTATGTTTGACAAATTAAAATAATGGTGAAATATTATACACTCATAAACAATGTTTGTCCTGCAGCGAAGAAAAACCTAGAATTCAATTTCCCTTGTTTATCAGGAAAGTCTGTTGCTTTCCTCATCCTTTAATGAGAGATAGAGGTCAAAGTCGCATCCAACAGATGCCCTTTCACGGTCTGTGTCCAGCGGTTACAAGTATAGTTTTAACTATTTGCCACAAATATCTTCATGCTCTCAAGAGGACTCCTGTTTCCCTCAACAGTCTGAAAGGTTTGAGTGCCTTTTATTTTCTCAGATCTTCCCCAAAAAGTCCTTTGCTGTGATGATCCTGCAGTAATTACCAATTGAGAGAAAAGGTTAGAACTGCTTGTGAGGAGGAAGAGAATCTGGAAGAAAGAATTCAGGACTGAACTGTTACCTGAAATGTTAAACACGTACTGAGGGTGTCATACCTTGGGTAATTTGTGTGTGTACAAACGCGAGGCTTCAAATTACACATCTTCTTTTTGTTTTCTTAATCTCTGAAGTTTAAAATATCAGTGGGTGGAGACTTATGCCTGCTGAGGCTCCTAAGGTTCCTGTGGTTCCTTTCATTTCAGACAAGTTAACCTTCCGGTGATTCACCAGTATGTAGATTATCTGGTAAGCGAGCAGAACGTGAAAAACATCTTTGGTAAGTGTTTTTTTGACAGAAACTGTGTTACGCTCCTTTTGCCTGGGTGGCAAGCCTATGCTATCTTGCCTGATAAGAGCAGTAGTGGGAGGGACTGTGGATGTGGGATCGTCCTAGGCATTTATATTCACCAGGAGAGAGAGTGTAAGTGATACTTAGAGCATCTGCATTAGCCTACACCCCGTTTCTGTGTAGGATAAAATAAGCATTGCCTTCATACAGTGACATTTCCAGAGAAGAATGGATAATGCTGTCCTGGCTGAGAAGACTCAACTGAATGATTCTCCCCTTTGCCTGGACAAGATACAATCATCTGATTGAAAAACACCAGCTCAGGAGTCCGGGGAATTCAATGAGCTCATCAAAGCCAAATGGGCTTCTGTAGAAGGGCACCGAGTGATACCGAGGTGGTCCCTGCTCCCATCCCTCTGCTCTGTCTCAGGGACGGGTAAAGGCAGCATGGATGGCTGGCTAGAGAATACAGTATCTGCTAAACTGCTTTTGTACACAGACAAAAAATAGTTTAATAAGCTGAAGTCAGTGATAAGATTTTGGTTCAAAACTTCAGTCAAAAGAGTGCCACGATGCAGAGGAGAGTATGGGAGTGACTAAAACTATCTCATTTTGATCTGTAGTTTGTGATTGAACATACTGACATCTCATTTTCCAGAGGTGCTTTAGCCTAGGTAGAACACATAGTTCCACTCACAGAGACACCAGATTTCAGGTTGGGCTGTTTCCTGGGGGTGGAGGATAGGCGATCCCTCTGCCTGGCTAGCGGGGTATGCCCTTGTCACAGCCTGACTCACTGCTGGGAGAAGGAGGTAGTGTCTGCTGGGGAGGAGGTGCTGGGGGGCAGCTTCCCAGTTTCAGCAGCTGATTGTGCCTTCTCCCTCCCGCTGCTGCTGATCCTGAAACACCCAGGTTTCAGACAAGCATTCAGTGATGATAATACTGCAGTCCACATGCAGATGCTCCTGAGGACCATTGCTATCTTAAAATGAGTTGGGGGGAAATACTTCTGTTTAATAGCATCAGAAGTGTCCGTTCTTGTTTTCAGTAAAATCAAGGCCAGGCCTCAGCAAGTGTGTTGTGTTATGTTGTAACAGTGAACGGCACAACAGGAGAAGGACTGTCCCTTAGCGTCCAGGAGAGGAAGCAGTTGGCAGAAGAATGGGTGTGCCAAGGAAAAGACAAGTGAGTAGCTGAGAGGGAACAGGGGATTCCAGATCTCGTGTTACCGTATACACATGCCTGATGGCAAAGCCACATTTGCTGATGGGTTGGGGTTTTTTTTGGAGTATTTTGCTGGGCTTCGTTCCCCAGCTCCTTTAAGTCCACATTTTTGTCACTGCCAGTTAGCTGGTGTCCCTTCCTGCTGCTTAGAGAGCTTGTAAGAGTCCTTTTCTTTGATACACTGAGGGATAGGGGACATAAGGGACATAAAAGGACACCAAAAAACATCCCCCCCTCTGAGGGGCAAAAAGGACCGTGCCCTTTGCTTATGCCTGAGAAGAAATAACAGCAGTCTGCCTATTTATGCCCTGTGAGCGTTTCTGAACCTTTTAATATATTAATTAAATTTGTTATGGGGGAAGATGAGGTGTAAAGGACTTAAGTGCTTCCCTAAAGGTGCAGAGTTGGTGGCGGAAGGAATTCAACCCAGATGTTCAGCTGTGATAACCTTTCTTTGATAACCCAGCTATCCCTTCAATCATTAATGTCTTAATTTTAACTTCCTAAGAAAATGCTAAAATTTGTCCCTCCTGCCAGCCTTGCAAATATGACAGCAAGGAGTCACACATTGCAAATATGTTTTCTTTTTTCCACCACCAGCTGCCTGTCAGTGTTGACTTTTTCCCTTTGTATCTGTTCATCGGGTCAGCACAGGTTCCAGTCCCTTTTAGGTTTAATCTAGCTCTGTGAAATTCTTGTTCTGTAGCTCCCTGGTCTGTAGTGAGTCATTTTGGGAGACTGATATTTTTCACCATCACTGAAACCTCCCCAAATCTTTTGAATTTGTTTTTGTGCAGACTGGATCATGTGATCGTTCATGTGGGAGCACTAAGTCTGCCAGAGTCCCAAGAGCTGGTGTGTATATGATATGATTCCTTTTCACTGTGTGTGTAATAAATATAAAGCAGATGCACCTTCAGGAACTCTCTGTTCTCTCTTTTACAGGCAAGACACGCAGCATCCATAGGTGCTAGTGCTATTGCTGTAATAACCCCCTTCTTCTTCAAGCCCACAAACAAAGGTGAGCAGATGCGATTGCTGAGGCCTTTTTATATTGCCCTCCAAACCTTTATCATGGATAAAGGACTAATGCCATCTCCTTTCTTTGAAAAGTATCCTGTTAGTATTCACATGCCTGTTGTCTGGTCGTATTCAAAAGCAAAACCTAGAAGAAGCTTTTTTTAAAGATGAGAGATACCAGAAATCTCCCAGTAAGAAGAAGGAAGGATGTATTTCGGATTGTATTTTGTTAGCCTCTTGCAAAAAGAGTTCCTTGTGGAAAGAGTAGTTAATGCGTCTGTCTTCAGAATAGGCAGTATGGAGTTCACGCTTGATCTGGGCCACGCTAGGAAGCAGTTGGTGCCATGCTGACCCTTGCTGGACACTGACCAAGTTGATAAAGTGGTGATACACAGGTCTGCCTCCTGTTACTGAGGTGATTATGTTTGGTTCTGTGCACCTAAGGTCACCTCAGAACTTAAAAACTGAATGTTTTGCTTTTAGTATAATGAACATGACATAAAAGAAACACGTGAAGTGAAAGTTCGTAACAAAAACGTTAAAATTTGTCTAAATTAATTATGAATGGAAATGTTCATATAAAAGCACCAGAAGAAACAGGAGTGGCTTGCCAGAATGGCTGGTGTTGACAGCCAAGGACAAAATTGGTGGCAATCAAACTGGTAAGCACACAGGAACAGCACAAAGATCAACAGAAAACCTTCACTGATAGTAACAGGTTGGCAGCGAGGTTTCAGCTCACTGCTCTTCCTCCTGTACCAATGTGCAGACTGCCTAAGATTTATGAACGATGCAGTGAACAAGATTCTCAGTAAGAATGTAAACCATCATAACTTTGGTTCCTAAAATAGTACCAAAAAGTTGTCTGAAAATCTGTTCATCATCACTATTGAGCAGTACCCTGGGGAGGTAAATTTGAACTTGATGCCTTGTCCTCTGTGCTGCACACAAGTGGTCCTGGTGAGACCGCTTTGGCACGCGTCTTGTGTGTGTGAGAGCATGCATGGGTTACATCTGTAAGAGAATGAGTGTGAGTTACTGAAATCTGTTTAGTTTAAAATAAATATAATCTTTGCCTTCCCTTGGATCTTTTGCTGTGTTTTGTTAGGTTTAATTTTTATGATATATGCAGGTTTTTATACAATTGGCTGTGTATGGTGTGCAAGCTGTAGATGGCCTCCCCACAGACCTTGGCTGCTGTGAATCTGAACTTTCACTGTGGATAGTCTTCTTCTCCTATGGGGGTACTTGATTGTTTTCTTCCAGATGAGCTGATTGCTTTCTTACAGAAGGTCGCATCTGAAGCCCCTACGGTTCCATTTTATTACTACCACATTCCTCCTCTGACGGGTGTGAAGAGTAAGTACTGCTTAGTCAGCTCTTCCTGAGCCCGTAGGCTCATAGCAACCTGAATAACCGCAGTGGCTGGTGTGATGAGTCTAGCAGTAGTATGTGGCCTCTGCTTCTGTCAGATGCAAGCTGTGGATCCTTTAGGAAAGGATCCTTTCTGAAAATAGGAGGTGAATTCAAGACTGGAAAATAAATTTAATTCCTTTTAATTGGAAAAATGTCACAGCTTATGAGTACTGAACAACTGGGACAGAAGAGGTGATGCTGACCATGGCTTTGCAATTAGTGTGGACCAGGGTAGGTAATTGCCTTGGATAATCAGAGTTGAATCCTAATTTTTTGCAAGATAGTTGCCACCATCTGTCTTGGTGTACACTGACTGCATAGTCATGTTTGCTAGTAAATGACGTGTGAAACCACAGTGCTGCTCAAATCTTCTTATTGGAATGCGGAATACAGACCTTCGGTTACTTGCTCTATACAGCAGGTTACGTGGTGTTTCTGGATATATGAATTTATATTTATTCTTCAATATGTTGTTGCCAGTTTATTCCTAAACTTACCTTTATCCAAGGTTTTTCCTTTCTGATTTGGTAAAAGGAATGCTTCAAAGAGGGCAGAAAGATGTCTTTTGTATAACTCTGGGAGATAATCACACTCAAGTTGTCTTGCTGGTTGTTTTAGAGCTATGTAGTTTACCAGCCTCAGGTCAAAAGTGAACAACCTGTAAATTGGTCTCCATCTTGGAGATAAGACAGGGAAATCTCCGAGAACAGGGGTGTATTTCTTCATATGAGATTGCTGTTCTGCACAGTTCGTGTTGAAGAGTTGCTGGATGGAATAAAAGAGCAGATCCCCACCTTCCAGGGTGTGAAGTTCAGTGACATGGACCTCTTGGACCTTGCACAGTGTATAAACAAGAATGAGAGAGAAGAGTTTGCATTTCTTTATGGAGTGGATGAGGTAAGAGGCTCCTCTTAAAAATTATTTATTCTAAGGCATTCTCTTGCTTCAGCCTTGAGAAAAAAGTAACCCTGGACATTCAGTGCCAGGTAGTTCTGCTGTCTTTCCTTTTTTTTCTTTCTTTTGTTACGTGAAGTAAAAATGTTCTTTTTCTCCCTCTACCCTAAACTAGCAACTGTTGAGTGCACTGGCAGTAGGGGCAGATGGAGCAGTGGGAAGGTCAGTATGGCTTTTTTTCTTTACACTCCTTATTGTTGTATATTCCACTATCTACACAGTATTTCTCTAGCTACCTTCTATCACAGCAATGGAGAGTTTTGCAGGGTAGGGCTATACAGACATACAGACAAGCTAGCTCCAGTGCCAGCGGTGCGACAGTTGGGTAATCTGGGATTTTGGAATACGCCAGTCTGGGTGATTATTGCTGCAGTCTGTGAGCTGATACAAAGGTTTCAACATACTTATCTACCCTCACAGCAGCTTTCTGAAGTAAGGAATCGTGTTTATCTTTGTTGTATGGGTAAGGAACCAAAACCCAGATCGGTTAAAGCTGTTAGTTCACATGAGAAGCCTGTGAGGAAAAGGGCTCTGCTGAGTTTAATTTCTGATTTTTCTTCTGCCCCTCGTGCCCGGCGGCTGAAGTGAATTACTGTGTGATATCTTTGCTCTTGTGTAGATGATCCATTATATGAACAAGCAACTGGAAAATTAAGTGATTGACTTTCTGTATTGCCTAATTGTGTCTTTTTACTTTTAATTTTGAAAAGCAGTTCCATTTGAAAAGAACTGGGAAGAGAAATCTGCTCTCTGAACTCTTCTGTAGGGCTTGGCATACTTCAGATGCTTGTCACTATAAACTGCACAGAGATTGCATGAATCTCTATCATAATAATGGCATTCTTGTAATGTCAACAGAGAAAGCCTGTGGCTGTGTCTTTTGTTTTGGTGGTTCACCCCCTTTGCATTTACTGATTCTATTTTTGTTTTGGTTGGTTTTGGCAGTACATACAACTATTTGGGCCGAAAGACCAATCTGATGTTGCAAGCCTTTGCAAAGGCAGACCTTGCATTAGCACGGAAATACCAGGTACAGTATCTTCACGATCCCCACTAGGAGCATCCGTCTTTCTCCTCTCACTTTACTGAGGCTGTTGTCCATGTAGCTTTGTTAGCCATACCCTGAAGTAGCTATGCAAACTTCTTTCAGCTCCAACCCCCCTGCTTGTTATTCATCTCTCCTTGTCTTTTTGACCAGTCCTTACTAACTTTTAACCAAGATCTGCCTTACTTATCCTTCAGTTCTAATCTCATTTATGCAGAGTGAGCAATGGCCTCGCCTTTTTCTTTGAACAAGCTCACAGTGGCCAAGCCCCTTGACCAGGAATCTCCTGGGGATACCTTACATGATGTAGGGCAGAAAGCTGTCCTAAATCAGCTCTGCCTTGACCCCTGTTGGTCTAGGGCAGCTTGAAGAATTGTGAGGAGTTCAGAGCAACCAGTTATAATCTGTACCAAATGTTTTTGTGGGACAGTTGAGGCATCCTTCTTTTGCCTTGAAAGAAAAGTGACTGCAGGATAAAAGTCTAAAAGACATCTGAAAGAGGATCTGCTCTGGTCAATCTCTTCACTAGGCAGTGGATATTCAGATTTGTAAACCTTTAAGAGCCAATACGTGACTAATCAGCGTTCTCAGACTCCTTGCAGTGAGGGACAGCTCGTACATGAGTGACAGACTGAGAGGGAGTGACCATTTTTTTATATCCAGCCCTCTGTCCCCTATTCCAATAGAATTCAATCAATATTTCCCATAGACTGGCCAGGTGGCCAAGGGCTTTTCTCAAAGCTGTGCAACAGTTGTATAAGATGTAAATATCATGATAGCTCTAGATGCTTTTACATCTTAAAATTCGAAGGAGTTTAATAAACTACTGTCTTGTCTTTTCTAGTTTCTCACTGGGGAATTTCTCAACTTTGTCTTCAAGCTAGGTAAGTCCTACACTGCCTGTTTCCCTTGTTATATCTAAAAATGCAGACTTGGTGCTCCAGAAACTCTCATGTTGCTGTACCCTCAGAACTTCCTTCCTGAAAGATTTCACAGTGAGAAAATGTTGCATGTGATGTTTCCTGAGTTAGTAGCAGCTGGGAGCTCAGCAAAGCTGACCAAGCATCCCTGACAGATTCCTCTCTCACTTCCTTCCTCCTTCTGTGAAATCTCACAGGTTTAAAGCTATGACTCTGTGATTTAATCTTATTGTTATCCTGTGGGTTTTTTTGTTGCTGTTCTGTCTCCGAAAGCTCATTTCTAGCTTTGTTCCTATAGAGTAATTTTTTCTGAAATTGTGGTACTCCAGTAGGAAAACAGCTCTGATACTTGTCTGTCCTGCCTTGCTGTAATTTAAGAGTAACTCTGTTCAGGGCTGTACAATCGTAGAATCATTAAGGTTGGAAGAGACCTCTAAGATCATCAAGTCCAATCGTCCACCTGACACCACCATGTCCACTAAACTATGTCCTGAAGTGCCCTATCCACACACTTTTTAAACACCTCCAGGGATGGTGACTCCACCACCTCCCTGGACAGCTTGTTCCAATGCTTGACCACTCTTTCAGTAAAGAAACTTTTCCTAGTATCCAATCTAAGCCTCCCCTGGTGCAACTTGAGGCTATTTCCTCTTGTCCTATCACTAGTTACATGGAAGAGACCAATACCCACCTCTCTACAACCTCCTTCCAGGGAGCTATAGAGAGCAATAAGGTCTCCCCTCAGTCTCCTCTTCTCTAAACTAAACAACTTCAGTTCCTTCAGCTGCTCCTCATAATTCTTGTTCTTCAGACCCTTCACCGGTTTTGTGGCCCTTCTGTGGACACACTCCAGTCCCTCAATGTCTTCCTTGGAGTGAGAGGCCCAAACTGAACACAGAATTCGAGGTGCAGACTCACCAGTGTTGAGTACAGGGCCACAATCACTCCCCTGGTCCTCCTGGCCACACTATTTCTGATACAAGCCAGGATGCCGTTGGCCTTCTTGGCCACCTGGGCACACTGCTGGCTCATGTTCAATTGGCTGTCAACCAGCACCCCCAGGTCCTTTTCTGCCTGGCAGCTTTCAGGCTACAGACTTACAAGCCTGTAGCACTGCATGGAGTTATTGACTGAAGTGCGGGACCTGGCACTTGACCTTGTTAAACCTTATACTATTGATCTCAGCCCATCAGTCTAGCCTGTCCAGGTCCCTCTGCAGAGCCTTCCTACCCTTGAGCAGATCAACACTCCCACCCAGCTTGATGACGGCTGTAAACTTACTGAAGGAGCATGCGAAATGACGTGATTTTGCTTTTGTCCTCCCAGGATTTGGTGTTGCACAGACTAAAGCTGTAATGTCTTTTGTTTCTGGCATTCCCATGGGACCTCCACGGCTCCCACTTGTCGACGCCTCCAAGGAGTTCATTGTTAAGGCCAAAGCCAAGCTGGACAGCATTGTGTGGCCTGATGGCGACTGATGTTTACTTCCATGTTGATCTGGAAGTCGAAGCTCCTTTTCTGGGATTTGGTGTCACTTGGGATGGTCCCCATGTGCTGGGCTGGGATTTTTTTCAGGGAACTGGCAATGTGCCTGAGTCCCTCCCTGCTGGGGCTGGCCCCATTGACACACGTGTAGCCACCTTTTTGTGTAACCTCATTCTGCTCCCTGGAGCGCTGCGTATCCCAGGACTAGCTTGTATCTTTTAATAAATAAAAAAGCAAATTTTCCCCAGTTGAAGGATTCTGGCTCCTTTTGTCTAGAAAGGAGGAAGATCTGTCTGCACCCTCCCTCCAGCTAGATCATGTTTTGTCCTTCACAACTATCTCCAGCACTACAGTGTGTTTTTAAACATTGGTGTGACACCGTCTGGTTGCTCAGATGGGTATTTTACTGTTTGTCACAAAGTCATTGGGACACTGACTATGTATGTAAAATCCAGTTTTTGTCTGGTCTAATTTCTTTGTACACCTTAATGCAAAATAAAAAAACCCAGAACTTTTGCAACAGAAAGCTTAGGCTCTCCAATGAGCAGATATTTCTCCATCTTTTTCCTCACAACAAAAATGAAGGCAGAATCGAGCTGTAGATCTCCTGACAGTGCTCCTGGATACAGAAATTATCACAGGGGATGTTTGGAAGGAGGGAAGAGAGAGGGGGAAACACAGAGAGGGACAGAAGAGCATGGAAAATTCTAGTAATATCCTCTCGCTATGTAACCACTGAACAAGAAATACACAATTATAAAAGCTTCCTTTATTTCCCCTTGAATTAGTAAGAAATTTAGGAGCGCTCTTCTTTGATGTGTAAGGGGAAGAGAGCACAATCAGCCCTGGGTGCTGCATGGGCAGAGGTTCCCCCTGTGCCATCAGTGGGGACCGGGACAGCTGAGGCCTGCAGAGCTGCTTGGCTTCCCAGGATGCAGGAATCGCTTGCCCGGCCCTTTAAAAAAGTAAAATCTTTATTTAAATTTTAAATAAGAAATAAAAAGCGATCGCTGCCAGGCTAATTGTGACTTGCTTGGCATTTCAGCACAGGACACGGGTCAGTGGTGCGTAGGAAAGGGGTGTTTCCCTAACAGGCCGCTGTGTCAAGTCGGGGAGTGTTTGATGCCGCCGGTACCGCTACG